CGAGGCAGAAATTAGAGTTTGATTATCGGCTCATGTGACGGCTCGGCCGCGGGGGCAACAGCTCTGGTGCCTGTTGATTGTCCGACGACTAACTGCTGCTCTAATTCGATCAACGAGGCGCTGAAGGGTCAGATTCCTGAGGGAGGTGACACGGGTTTGAACCCCCCCCACCACCACCAGCACCTCTTCACCTCCACACGAGGTGCACAGGCCTGACGCCTGCACCACCGAGCGGATGTGACTGCGTGGGAGCTGCACGCCTTAAAGCTGGCTGCTGCTGCGGGGGGGGCGTGGTGTCAGAAAAAGGGGGGGGGGGGGGGGGGGGTCGTAGCACCGCAGCCTGAGGCCTTCCTGTCAGCAGACTTGAACCAGAGACCACTTGCTCTGCTTCTATTCCCGTCCCTTCATGTGATTATAAAACCACCTGCTGCAGCCGAAATACAAACATTCGGCTGCAGCAGAGAATCAGCTTCATTGAAATGTTTTCGGTTTGTTCTCACCTCTGCAGCAGGTGTGTGTGTGTGTGTGTGTGTGTGTGTGTGTGTCAGCCCTGAGCTCACACTGTAGAAGGTTGTTGTTTTTGTTGCGTGCTGCGAAATCAGATTTGAAAAGCGTTTCTGAGAAGACGGTGCGTAACGTGAGACGAGATCTTGAGGACAAAGACACGTTGGACACGTGCAGCTGATGTTTGCAGGGAACGTTCCTGTGACTTGACAAACCGCGGCCGAAGCTCCGAAGTGGAGATCAAAAAAAAAAAAACAAAACGATTTTGACTGGCGCTCAAAAAGAATGAATGTTCTGTTTGGACGGACCGTCTTTTTATTTTGATCCTTTTTATTACTCATTTAACGGCTTCACTTCTTTTACTGTAAATGATATTTCCAGCGCGGCTGAGCTTCGGCTGCTCTCCCACTCAGGCGTGTTTTGACACGTTCCTCGACAGATTATTAAATCCTCTGCAGCCTCTAATAATACTATTATGTTTACATCTTGTCTTTTTCACCGTGGGAGACACTTCCAGCGAGAGCTCGGAGTCAAACCGACGACCCCCCCCCCCTGTTTGCTCATGGAGGCGCAGACTGATTCGTATTAGTAACCAAATAATGGTATTAATGCCCATTAGGAGCGTCACATGAAGACATCACAACACCTACGTGCTTCGAGCGGCGCCGCTAAATAAAGAGGCTGCACGTCGAGCCAACTGCGAAGCCTTTCAGCTCTTTGTGCGCCGATCATTAAGAGAAACGTCTTTAAAGAGAGAGCTGCGGGTTCGATAGGATCCCGAGCCGGCGCCGCTCATCGGACTCGCTCTGCAGGTGTTTGAACAGGAGACGCAGCCCAGCGTCACGTTTCATGACTTCTTTAGAACACAGACGTTCTGTCGTCGACACGACGCCACGCGGGCCTGCAGGAACCCACCTGAGCTGCATTCAGCGCCGGATTACGACCGGCGGTTTGAAACCGGCTTTCTGGGCTTCAAAAGCCACTTTTTTCCTCCTTTTCTACGCGATACAAAACACTATATGTTAATTGATAATCAGCAGTGTTGATTCAGCGGTGCGTTCAGCGCAAATCTGTGCCCTTCTGGATGTCAGAGGGTTTTCACAGCCACGCCGGTGCCAACCTCGCTGGCAGTGCCGGCACCTGCCGGCGGTGCCAAGGCCTGGCAGGGGTTATCCATGCTCTCTGATGGCGCCCGACAATCACAAATGACTGCGGCCGCTTGCGTCATGCCAGAGACAAAAAAACAACAACAACCAAGAGCTCGCTCCCGTTTCCCGAACGCCGCAGACGGCGGCTACGGTGAAACCACCAAAACAAAGGAGCGGGATCTGCAGCGAGTCGAGGTGATCCAGAGGGTTCAGGCTGAACGTGAGCAAAGCCTCACGTGTAGGATGCTACGCACGTTTTCATAAAAATACAGAGACGCGTTGCCGTTTTATTTTGACGCACCGGCTCCTTTTTAAAGCCTCCATCTGTTTGTGCAGAGTGTGTTGTCCACGCAGCACCGCTCAGCCACCGCGTCTGCTTTTAGCTTACAGTGTTTCACTCAAACCCAGATAAGAACCCATCACTGAATCTGTGGCGGCGACTCACACACATGAGGACGTGTGTGTGTGTGTGTGTGTGTGTGTGTTCAACAACTCCTCCATTTCCTGTGAGAGAAAACCACAAACCCCTTTTACACTCAGCCGCCCCCGCAGAACTTCTCACTGTTCTCCAAATCGCTCCATCGCGGGTCCGAAAGGTGAGTTCTGGTGAAGTTCAAAGCGTCTTCTCGAGGGTTGTTTTGGACACAGACGTGTTTAGAGACGGACGGACCTTTGACCTCCGGCAGGTGGAGGAGGTGCACCTGCTGGTGATGCAGCGAAAGGAAACCGGCCACCTTCCTGCGCAGGTCGCTCTGCGGCGCCGTGTTCATCGTGACGTTTGTTTACCGTGAGCTTCGTGCGTTCGCAGGTAAATTTATTAGCGAACGCGTTTCCCGCGCACCTGAACCTGCACGGTCGACCCACGACCTCTGGCTCTGCCGCGCCATAGGCGTGCACGCTTCCTGTTGGTTTCCTGTTGTTGTTCCGACGCCACCTGGACAGGAACGGGTTCTCACCTTTGTTTGATGTCGATATATTGACAGCACGATGGCTCAGTGGTTGGCAAGAAAGTCCTGGGTTCAATCCCCGGTTGGACCTGGGGTCTTTCTGTGTGAAGTTTGCATGTTGTTCTCGTGCTGCGTGGGTTTCCTCCCACACATTAAAAACATGCGTGTTTGCCTTCAGGCCCAGGCCTCCCTTGTAAAGAGACGTGTGGTCTCAGTGGGATCTGTCTGGTTAAATAAAGGTTAACAAAATGTCTGACTCGCTTTAGGCCGTGGAGATTAAAAAAAGAAGTTTAACCTTTGAACTCACGTTTGTTCTCCAACAACACGGAGGTGTAAACGACAACGTTCCCTCCGCCACGAACTCTGAACTCAAACATGAAGGTGTTCGTCCTGAACTACATCGGGCGGTGCAGTTCACCCCGGCAGTTCAAGTGCGGGTACGCGCTCAACGTAAACACAGAGCTTTTATCTGCCGACTTGACTCGACAGATCTGAGCGTAAATACTTCTCCCAAACTGTCTCACGTCTTGATTTCAAATGGCTCTTTCTGGGACGCCGTCGACCTATTTTTAGCCGCTTCGGCTGTTTTGCGTAGGTAAACAAACGCACGTGGTGGCTGACTCACAGACTGTTTTAATTTAAGGACACATTAAGCTGATGTGAGACAGTTCTCTACAGATTTAGTTTTTATTTTAATTTCTTCATTAGTCACAACGAGTCGGTTTAATGCAGCTTCTTGTCACCTGCTCGTAAAACCTCAGCTCACCTGGTGACGATCAACAAACGGCCCGTCCGTTGTTTTATTGACTCTTTCAACAGATTAACTCTTCGGGAGTTTTCTCAAGTTTGCCAGCAGCTCAGGAACAATCCTAAAATACTAGGCTGGACGTGGAGCTGCTCCGCGGACGTCCCCCCCCCCCTCCACCCCCCCCCCACCCCCCCCAGGCTCAGACCGTTCAGGCTTTGTTGCAAACGTCAACACAGATGATCTCCTCTGATATTTTGGGATAACAGACTTTGACATAAATCCAGTGGAGGTAAAAGTTTGTGATGTAGGTGAGAGCGCAGCGCCGAGGCGGAGAATCTTTAGGTTTGCTTACAGACAACAGCCCCGGACTAAAATATGTCTTTTTACACGTTTAAATCTGAGCTTTAATTTAGTTTTAAATACGTTTTTTTAAAACGATAAATAAAAAGTAGTAAATCAAGTTATAAATGTTTGCAAACATGGCTCATAAATCTCATTTATGGTGCAATAAAACTGACATCAATACAAGTAAACATCTCTGTTAATGCACATTTATGTTTTTATTATTTTAATTATAATAAAATGCCATAAAAGGTGTAAGATTATATGAATTTGCCTGTGTCTGTTAGCAAAATATCTCATGAGGATGGATGTTCAAGAAACTCAAGAAGTACGTCTACAACTTTTAAACAACTCTGATTCAAGATGGCCGCCGCAGCTCATCAAAACAGCTGACCTTGCACTCGGCTGATGTTTGGGGTGGTTGTAGCTGAGAGTCGTCCCCGACACGCTCTCTGAGCTCCGGCAAAACGGTGACATCGCTCTACTTTTATATTTTAACTGTTTTATTTTTTAATGAAAAAAAAAACACAACTGACTAAATATCTTATTAAAGCCACAAAAACTTAACACAGACAATAAAAATTTATATGAACAAATATTAAAATCTACACAAATGTGTGTATGACAAATTGTGTGTTAACAATAAAAACTCATTTTATTAGTTTTTTTGTTTGTTTGAGGTCAAATAGTTCCTGTTTTCCTTCAGGATCAAAACACACCAGGGCTCAAGTAAAGTGTGTGTGCGCGTGTGTGCGTGCGTGAGAACATCTGTGTGTTGTAATAAATGCAGGACCGCCTCACTCTAATCAAGCTGATTAAAAATTCCTACGCGCACAGCCGGAAGTAGCGCCGCCGCTGAGTGTGTGTGTACGCGCGCGCGCGTTTGTTAGCGCGTGTAAGTGCGCGTGTTGCTCCTGTCCTCCATCACTTTCTGTACTTTAAACGTCTCTGACAGGACTTTTCTTTTCTTTCTCCCCCCACAAACAAAAAAAAAGTGCAGCGGAGGAATATGTTTGAGCAGAAAGGCGGTAGTTTGGCCCTCTTGCTTTCTGTTTCTCGCCTCGTGACGAATAAATATGTTTAAACATTTCTCCCCCCGCGCGCCAAAGGAAGGAGCGAGGAGGAGAAAGGGAGAGAAGGGAGGGGAGCGGAGGGGGGAGTGATGAGTCAATACAACTAATAATTTAATGGGGACAGGGAGAGGGAGACAGAAAGAACCGGAGCTCCGTCCGGACCACATCCCCGCCGACAGGACGCCTCCTCGCCCTCCAATGCGGCCGCGGAGAGCCGCGTCTTCTTCCAGCTCGACGTCGGAAAGTAAACGGCACTTTTCTCCCCCTTTTCCTCCCCTCGGTTCTCCTCCTTTCGTTCTCGCGAACCTGCTCCGCATCCGTCGTCTCGCGTCGCCGGTTGGGAACGAACCGCCGCCGCGTCGCGCGCCTCGGTCCCCGGCGGACACGAGCAGCCCGGCCGCCTCGCTCCGTGTTTTTTAACCGTAAAGACTGTCCGGGGCTTCGCTCCGTGTTTAACCGTGAAAACTGTCCGGGGCTTCGCTCCGTGTTTAACCGTAAAGACTGTCCGGGGCTTCGCTCCGTGTTTAACCGTAAAAACTGTCCGGGGCTTCGCTCCGTGTTTAACCGTAAAGACTGTCCGGGGCTTCGGGTCTGAAGCGGTGAAAACGGTGCGCGGCGTCTTTCTTCTTGCTCGGACGTCACGGGGAGAACTAAACCCAAGTCGCTTCGCATCCCGCTGCACTTTCAGCTGCACGTTTCTCCCTCCGTTTTATTTGTTTGTTTGTTTATTTTGTTTATTTCGGGACGGAAGTGTCTCGCGCACGCTGACACGGACTCACCGTGCGCGGCCGCCGCGGGGTCGTCGCGTGGCTCCGCAGCCGGGAGGAGCAGCAGCTTACACCCGGCTTGTTCTGGGGTTTTAACGCTGTCACGCACACGCAGAGCGACCAGAACCGGAACCAGAACCCGGGACTCGTTGGGTTTTTCTTCTGTTCTGGTGAAACTTGAAGCAGAAGCCGTTTCTCGCTCTCCAGTGCTGAAGCTGCTTCAGGTCGGTTTGTTCCAAACTTTCCTCCCGTTAAGAGTTATTTAATCAGATATTTATGTTTAAATTCTTCTTCTGTGCGGGTCATTTAAAAATCCTGATCTGGATCATATCTGGGTCTGGATTCCTTTGCCCCCCCCCTTCTTTTATTTGTGGGGAATTAGCTGCCTGGTTGCGCGCCCTGGATGAGGCGTTCATGATCTGTGGGACATTCCACCCGGTCCATCAGCACCCGGTAACCTGCAGCAGGACCGGGTCCACCTGGAAACCGGACCGGGTCAGTGTGAATTGTTCCCTTCATTAAAGGCTGAAGCACCTGTGGGTCCAGGGGCGGATCTAGACTTTTTTTTTTAGGGGGCTGCAAAGCAGAGGTGTGTGAGCTTTTATATTTAATTTCATGCATTCAGATTTCAAGAATAACACTATTGATGTAAAGGAAAATATTTTTGACTATTCTCAAATAGTTTTTTATTGTTTTCCCAAAACATTTAAGGTTTAATTAAGCGTTAAACTTATTTTCACATGAGACAAAATTAAAAGTTTTTTTTCTAAACGAGGACCGACCTCCGTTTTTTAATTTTCTAAAGGAAATAAATGCTTTTAATCAGATTTGGCAGATTATCTAGAACCTAGAAATGGTTTTTACGTCCAGCGCTGATTTATTATTATTTTAAAATCAAAATAATTATTCTGAACCATTTTTTGTGTGAACTCTAATCGAGCTAGAATAAAACCTTATGTTCTGTGCAGATGTTTTTAACTTTAAACCGTGAATAAAATGTGTAGTTTATTAACCAGTCTCTCAGGGTGGCAGCTGGGGTGGCAACATGTATTTTTACAGCGGCCCCTCCGTGCCACTCCCTAGAACCGCCCCTGTAGGCGAAGCGGCCTCCATCTTTACTACGTTTAGCGTTTTGATGACTGTCCTCGTGAGTCATCTGCCTGGCTGGGTTAAAGTTTCCTCAAAGCTGTAATTTTCCCGCCCTCCTGACGTTGTAAACTCCTTCATGCTGCAGGAACTCCTGGCTCACTTGCAACAAATCTAAAAATAACGCACCTGTAAAGCCTGCAGAGCGACGGCACCGAAACGAGGCCTTTCGCCTCCTTTCCCCCTTCGAGCTGCGTCGCTGATTGAACCGAACTGCGTTGGCTCCGGTGCAGCAGAACCGCTCCAGGTTTGCATTCAAGAACCGCTCCTTCTGGTGCAGGAGCCTTACCAACACGCATGAAGTGTGCTCTCAAACAACGGGAACATTACCTCACAGACTCGGGTTTGTCGTCACTAAAGCGGGTTGACCTTTACTGCCGCACCGGGAGTCTCCTCGGACGTCTTTATCGCCTAAAGAACCTTATTTAGCCGCAAAAATTAAACCGTTGGTGTCCTTACTCGTCAAAAAGCTGTGCGTTCTCACACACACAGGTGCTGACAGCTGACTTCCTGTTTGTGCCTCCCCAGGTGATCGTGAGCAGAGGTGCTGAGGATGATGGAACATCTCAGCGAGGCGTGTTTGGGCAAGGAGAACTCGGAGCTGGTCAGCAGCCTGGCTGAGGCCAAGGTCCCTCCGGCGAAGCTGCCCCGGCTGGAGCAGAACGGCAGCCCGCTGGGCCGGGCCAGGCTGGGCAGCGCCGGCGCCAAACTAGCCGGGGTCCCGTTCAAACCCGCCGGCCACCTGCTGAAGACCTGCTACAGGAGAGGTAGGAGGATTTGGTTCAGCTCGTTTGTTTTTAATTTTAAAGTCACTCCATGGAAAGTCCGTTTGTGTGTTTGTTTGTTTGTTTGTTTATCTAAGTGAAAAGACGTCAACAATGGCGACGGCATGTTTGGGATGAACTTGTATTTGTGTTTATGTTTTGTCTTTGTATGCAAACAACTGGTTTGTTTACGTTGAGTGCAGACCTGCGTTTCAGAACTGTTTGTCAATATATTTAGACGAGTGCTGGTCTAAACCGCTCCAAACCAGTTTGATACCGCTCCAGATGACCTTTTCATGTTTGGATCCACACTTTGCAGAGTGCCGTTAAAAAAACAAACAAATAATTTAGAAGTTTGACTCGCTGGTGGAGCTTTGGTAAATTTTTCAGACGGACTGATTAAGGAATAACATCCACCGCCTCGCAGCCGATAATTAAAAATGTAATTTCCAGCAGCCCAAACGTCTCTTCAATAATTTAACGGTAGCTTCTCAAAACCAGCAGCTCTGATGTTTGTGGGAATGGAACCGTTGGCGTGAAGGTTTGATTCCTGTAAGAAAAAGGTGATGTAAACGTTTAGCGCGTGCGCACGCTCACAGATACGCGTCGCCTCCCCTCTCCAAACTCCGCAACCTTTTTGTTTAAACGCTCCTCTTCAGTCCGGCGTTGTCTCTTGTCCAAACAGGAGCAGGAAGAGGAGCAGCAGGAGCGTTGCTCCGGGCTCTCGTCGTGACGTTTGTCCGTTTAATTACGGTGAAAGTTTAGAGCCGTATTTGTTTCACTTGTGAGATTATGACGTAGCTTTTTAATACAACTGGTGTCGACTTGTGGAAAAACAAAATGTGTTTTTTATGAATTCCAGTGGATTTTAGAACTTCAAGTTTGACCTCAGTTTCTCCCAGCTGCTGTTTTTTATTTTATTTTTTTTACGAACGTGCACGTTCTAACCGAAAGAGCCCAGTTTGTCACATTCGTCCTCTCAGCCTCCCACGGCGTTCGGTGCTCCGCGCCTCCTCCGCGCCTCCTCCGCCTCCTCCGCCTCCTCCCACCCGTCGGCTCGATTAGGCCCTAAAAGGGTGAAGAGGCTCCGCCGCTCCGAGAAGAACCCACAGCGGGCGTTGTGTCGGAGCCCGAAACAATATTTACCGCAGCCCTCTCTGGGCGCGCTGGAAACAAAGCCGGTATTGATCCCTGAAACGGACCCACACAGCAGTCTTTATTGTTAGATCTTTATCTATTAAAATCGGGGGGGAAAGCGGTTCCTTCAGCACATTCCTCTGTGTTTGTCGGCTGATTGATTGTTTGGAGCCGAGCGTAACTTCTGGACAGCCTGGGATCGGAAATTATTAGAAAGTGACTGTTTTTTTGTGTCTGCGCCGACGACAAACAGCAGAAATGTGTCGGCTGACGGAACAGAGACCTGCTGGGAAACGTAGTTTTTAACCTCGTCTCTGAATTTACCGGATCTTATTTTAAACGTACTATACCACTTAACAAGTGTAGCAACAAATAGGTTGTTTATGGGACGTAAACACCTTATAATGCGTCATTAGGCATTTATAAATCCATTATAAAACCGTGTGCACACATAGCAGTAAAACCTGCACTTGTTTATGTATTATTGCTGCTGAAATATTAATATTTTAAGAGCTTACGGATTAAATAAAAACTGCGTTAACATTTTATTACCTGCGTGTTGGAAACTTCTTGTTGTGAAGTTGTCCTGAAAACAAATTCTCCACTTTGGTGGACGTGTCCTTTGATGATTTTCAGGGTAAATCTGCTGCACTTTTGTTTGTTTACCTACGTAAACAGCCGAAGTGCCCGGAGCCAGCAACAGACACGGAGGAGCAGTTTGAGATGAAGTCCACCGTTTTTTAAACCCCCAGGTTTGCTGAGTACGCAGGAAACGGTGCTTTGTTTACACTGAGCGCGTGCCCGCGTTGCAGACTTGTTTATCAACACATCTGGAGTCCGAGTTCAGGACGACCTCTTTTTAACGTTTGGTTTCATCGTTTGCACCGAGGACCTTCAACACGAACGGCGTGTCGGCTGATTTTTGAGAATTCTCGAGAATTAAAACGCCGGCGCTGCCAACCTCGGGGCGCAGAGGTGGCTCGGGGTTCGAAGCACTGCATCATGGGAAGACGATGTCGAGCTGGCAAGCAGAGAGGAAGGCAAACGTAACCGTAGCATCTAGAACAAGAGTTGTTCATACGCTGAACCAAAGATTATATTTGTCAATAACATTTTTACTGATCAGTTTAGTCTTTAAAGCTCAAATTAAACGTTCTAGCAGCTGAGCTCTTTCTGAACTCGTCGGTCTGTGAGTTTATCATCGAGACACGAGGTGAAAGTTCAGTTTCCAGATCTGGACGTCCGGCGTCCTCGTCTGTGGACAACCCCACTCAGCGTCTCCCCCGTGTCTGTGTCTCCAGGCAACATGCTGCCGGTGTTCTGCGTGGTCGAGCACTACGAGAACCCCATGGACTTCGACAGCAAGGAGGAGCACGCCGAGTTCGTCCTGGTGCGCAAGGACATGCTCTTCAACCAGCTCATAGAGATGGCCCTGCTGTCCCTGGGCTACTCCCACAGCTCAGCAGCACAGGCCAAAGGTAAACCACTCCCACACCGTCTGTTAGCAAAATATCTCAGGAAACATCACTGGGCACACATCTACAACTGATTACCCTCTGGAGTCAACATGATTAAAGATGGCCGCCACGGTTAGTTGACCTTAAAAAATAAAAAACGGCTGCAGCTCAGTCATTTTTACCGATCTGGACTGAAATCTTGGTGTGGTAGTAGCTGAGACTGATCCACAACACGCACTCAGAGCAAGGATGGATTTAGTGAGACTTTAGCATTTTACAGTTGACTGCCTGGAATGAACTCTGTCTGTCTGTTAGCAAAACATCCCTTCTCTCACCGGACAGATTTTAATGAACCTTTCAGGAAGTAATCGTTGCATCATCGTCTACAGCTGATTAACTTTTGGAGCCAGTACAAAGCAAGATGGCCGCCACAGCTAATCCACCTTCAAAACCACAGAAATGGTTAAACTTGAGTGGGTTTTATAAATATTGAGCTAAGATTTGTCGTGGAAGTTGCCGAGTCTTTTGCAACACATTCTTAAGACTTTTATTGTGCCAGATTTTGGCATCAAATGTTGGAGTCGATCCTCTTTGTCTGTTAGCAAAATATCAGGCCTGGGCCTGAAGGCAGCCTAACATGCATGTTTTTGGTCTGTGGGAGGAAATCGGCATACCCGGAGAAAACCCACGCATGCACGAGAAGAACATGCAAACTCCACCTAGAAAGACCCCAGGTCCAACCGGGGATTGAACCCTTGCTGTGAGACAACAGTGCTAACCACTGATCCATCGTGCTGCCAGTTGGAGGCTGAGACTGAACCAAACTGGATTTAAAAATGTTCTCAAAATGCTTCAAACTTCATAACGTCTCGCACGTCCTTCAGTTCCTGCACGCTTTGTCGAGATGCACACGTTGGCCTGCAGCGCTGAACCGTCCTGACTCTGCTCCCAGACTGTACAGGCTCCAGTGTCCCACATTCCCATTAGATACAGGTTCTGCCTCACTGGATCACATGCACGCACGCACGCACGCACGCACGCACGCACAGTGGTAGAGGCAGGTGGAGGAAAAGGAGTCTGCTAATTGCACTCAAACTCATGCAGGCCAACGTTTGCTGTTCCAAGGTGCCTCTTTGCCTGGTGTTTATTAGAACCTGTCCATCTCTCACGCACATGCACATGCACACGCACACACACTGTAATCCACCTTTACATTAAGCGGTCCTCCTCCCATCCTGCTGGGTATTTGACGGTTTAAGGAGGACTTGTCACACGGTTGTTGTGGTTTCTCTAATAAGTGAGGAGGGCGGGGGTGACTGTGGCACCAAGATGCTTCCTGGGTGCCTACACATGGCGCTGTTCACACGTTCCACGTGTTACTGTTTTAAATTAAGCAGCGACAGAAAGCTCACACGCTCAGATCTTCTTGCTCCTCGCATCTGTCATTTATTTGTTTGTTTCCAAGTGTGTCCGTGCTCACTCGCGTCTGTCCGCCGCAGGTATGATTCAGGTGGGGAAGTGGAACCCCGTCCCCCTGTCCTATGTGACAGACGCGCCGGACGCCACGGTGGCCGACATGCTGCAGGACGTCTACCACGTGGTCACGCTCAAGATCCAGCTGCACAGGTAAGAAGCACGCGCAGGTGAACTCGACTCGGCTCAGTTTATTTATGTAGCGCCAGCAACGGTCACCTTAGGTTTCTGTGCAAAAAGTAAAACCAAGTCCCGATCATGAATCCAATCCAGATTAAAATCCAAATAAAGTCGGTTCAGTCTGATTAAACGATCCGTTCAATACGTTGTGACATGCCGATCAGAACGGTCACCAGCCGATGGCTTTAATCTTCACACGTCACAATACTCCATCCTGAGCTGCACTGAGGCGACTGTGGGAAGAAAAGACTCCATTTTAGCAACAACAAAAACGACAACCTGCAGAAAAATCCAGAACCAAACCAGAACCAGGCCATCTGGCTCTGCTGGGGGCAGTTTGAGAGGACAGGAAAAAGACCAGGACCACACAGAGTGACTGTCCCAGCTGTAGTTTCTGTGGTCCAGGTGTAGTTTCTATAGTTCAGGTGTAGTTTCTGTGGTCCATGTAGTTTCTGTGGTCCAGGTGTAGTTTCTATAGTTCAGGTGTAGTTTCTATAGTTCAGGTGTATTTTCTGTGGTCCATGTAGTTTCTGTGGTCCAGGTGTAGTTTCTATAGTTCAGGTGTAGTTTCTGTGGTCCATGTAGTTTCTGTGGTCCTGGTGTAGTTTATGTGGTCCTGGTGTAGTTTCTATAGTTCAGGTGTAGTTTCTATAGTTCAGGTGTAGTTTCTATGGTTCAGGTGTAGTTTATGTGGTCCAGGTGTAGTTTCTATATTTCAGGTGTAGTTTCTATATTTCAGGTGTAGTTTCTATAGTTCAGGTGCAGTTTCTATAGTTCAGGTGCAGTTTCTATAGTTCAGGTGCAGTTTCTATAGTTCAGGTGTAGTTTCTGTGGTCCAGGTGTAGTTTCTGTGGTCCAGGTGTAGTTTCTATATTTCAGGTGTAGTTTCTATAGTTCAGGTGCAGTTTCTATAGTTCAGATGTAGTATCTGTGGTCCAGGTGTAGTTTCTATAGTTCAGGTGTAGTTTCTATGGTTCAGGTGTAGTTTATGTGGTCCAGGTGTAGTTTCTATATTTCAGGTGTAGTTTCTATATTTCAGGTGTAGTTTCTATAGTTCAGGTGTAGTTTCTGTGGTCCAGGTGTAGTTTCTGTGGTCCAGGTGTAGTATCTGTGGTCCAGGTGTAGTTTCCATATTTCAGGTGCAGTTTCTATAGTCCAGGTGTAGTTTCTATGGTCCAGGTGTAGTTGCTATAGGAAGAAAACAAAGAAACTCATTATTGATTGAAATAATTACAAATCCAATCAAAGTGTAGATCGAGCAAAGACAGCAGCAGAGTGAGATCTGTTCAATTTGTCCTCTAGCAATCTATGCCTAATGCAGCATAACTAAGGTATAGCTCTAAAAGCCAAGCCAATCGTAACTATAGGATTTATCATTAAGGAAAGTCTTCAGTTTGGTCTTTAAAGTAGACAAGGTGTCAGCCTCATGGACAGAAACTTGATGTTGTTTCCACAAGAGAGGAGCCTGAGAACTGAAAGATCTTCCTCCCATTCTGCTTTTGGAAACTCTAGGAACCACAAGTAAACCTGGAAGTAAACCAAAGTGCTCTGTTAGGACAGTATGGAACAATATCTGTAATATAAGATGGAGCTAGGTTGTTGAGGGCTTTGTAAAATTTTAAATTCTGTTCTAAATTTGTCAGGGAGCCGATGGAGAAACTGGAGATATGATCTCTCCTAACTTTTATCAGAACTCTGGCTGCAGTGTTCTGGATCAACACAAGACTTTTTAAAGGGTTTATGGGACGCCCAGATAATAAAGAATTACAATAGTCCAGCCTAGAGGTGGTAAATCCATGACCAGCTGTTCTGCATTATTTTGGGACGAGTTGTTTCTAATTTGAGTGAAATTGTTTAGATGGAAGAAAAAGATCCTGGTAAGATTTTTTTATTTTAGGATTTAAGACCTCCGGATATAAAACAACACTAAAGTTCTTTACATTCGAACTGGAGTCCAAATTAGCATGAAGAGGAAGAAAAGGTCTGCAGCATGCATTTAGAAGATCGGGTCAGTTAAAGTATAAAGTTATTATATTTACACACTTAGTTTTATGGCTCGCATCAATCCCTGATTGCAGCCCTGACACAGTCAGTGCAAACCGTTTCCCCGGCGGCAGCTGCCAATCTGATTGATACATGGACGTCTGTTATTACTCATCAGAGTGACCGCTCCCAGGAAACAGGAAAAAACCCATCTGAGTAATGGAGACGTCCTCGCAGAGCGGTGCCGAACAAACAGAAACCGTCTTGTTTGTTAATTTATCTGTTGGGAGACGAGATCGCGTCACCAAGTCTTCACTAACATGAGTTTTCACGGCCAAGTGACGAAGCGGCTTTAGCTCTGGTAACTGACCTAAGTGACATTAACTTGTTTGCATATTAATCTAAATTTTTGCTTTGGTAAAATTAAACGGGATGATATAGTTTCATTTACTGAATCAACAACTACTGAGACTGATTTATTTAAAAAATGTAATTCCTAACTGCCTTGGTGCTAAAAACGACTTTTATAACAAATAACCTGAAGGTTGCTCACCTGAAGTGACACCTTGAACACAGCCACGTGCACTCGGATCATTTAAGGGAAATGCATTTCTTGTGAATCCGCAGCAAAATGCAGTCACGACGTTTTAAGGCTCAGAGTATCAAGACATCATAAAAATTAACTGGTTCTCGCCAAGGTCTTAAAAATATAACCTCCGAGTGTCAACACAAGACGATATTTACAGTCACTTTTCTTATTTTTAAACAAAATGAGCCAAAGGCAGAATCAGAAACTGGTTTTTACTGCCTCCATAGATTTTATAAATAAGACGAATGTCAACCAGGAGCTGCTGATCAAATGCATTGACTGATCGTCATCAGCCTGTGTCCGCAGCGGTCGGGTGTGTTGACACAACGTCAGGGCGGAAAGACATCAGCAATGACCTTAGGGAGTTGACCATCAATCTGGGAAGGGTCAAAGGTCAGTGGGAGCCCATCATTCCACAGAGTGGACAATGTTTTAGACAACTGACGGAGTGGACGACCCACCAAAATCACCCCAAAGGTCAGACCATGCAGTGCTCAGAGAAATCTATACAGACATAAGTAGGTTGAAGGTCAGAGGTCACGGTTTGTTTGGAAGGGTTGCAGGAGTTAAAACAATATGGCAGCACGACATAGGTTTGGAAAGTTTCATCTCAAGGAGCCACAAGACTTCTGAGACGATGTCTTCTGGATCCATGAGGCCCAAAACAGATATTTACCCATAATGCACAGCAGCATGCATGGACACAGCATATCAGCTCACACCTGCTGTGAAGCACGGTGGCGGAGGGCTGATGGTTTGGGCTCCTTGCTGTCCCTTGAGCGGACCCTGTAGACCTTGGTCCTCTGTAGACCAAAGAGTTCTGGAGTCAGATGCGAGTCCATCTTGTCCAGCAGCTGAATCTGGGCCCAGTTGGACAATGATCCCCAACACAGCAGCTAATCTACAACAGAATGGGTCAAAAAGAACTGAACCATCAAGTCCAGAACCTCATCCTGACTGGAACACTGTGGTTCAGAGAGCTATCAGAGTGAAAAGCCTGAAAACAGCTGAGTCATCGTTGTAAAGAGGAATGGGCCCAAATCCCTTTACGTGGATGAGGTCGTACAGGCTGATGAATCACGGCATGAGCTCAGCTGTTCTGTGTTCTGGCTTAGTTTTTCATAAATAAAAACACATAATGTGTGTAATGTTTATTTATTATGTATTTACCTAATTTAAGAACCAGATTATTTTCATTCCTCCTGATAAACAAATGTAATTTTAACGTAGTTACCGTGACTGTTTGGTGTAAAAACAAGAGTTTGAGACGTTCCCCTCCTGAATCTCGTCTCTGGTGTCTCTCCCTGCGTATACTGTATGTTTCTGACTATAAGGCGCATTAAGTGAAACTAGTTAATTTTGGCAGGTTTTTGAGCGCCGTGTACCAAATAAAATCAGTTGGTCAGTAACCAGATTGAATCCATAAGGTGCACCAGATTATTAGGCTCACTGCTGATTTTTGAGACGATTAAATGATTTTAGTGCGTCTTATAGCAAGTAGAGGTTGACTGATATGAGGATTTTATTTACCTAATTTTAAAACCGATGAACCAAATGAGGAGGTTTTTTTTTATTTTTATGGTCGATGCCAATCTTTAGAAATCAAATCATTTTGTGTAGGTGAACAAACGTGTCTGAATCAGACGAGCGGAGCCTCTCGGAGAAGACGTTTCGGTGGAAACGCAAGAATTAATCTGCAACGATACGGAGGATTGTCGCAGCATAAAGAAGCGTCGGATCATGTATAAATACACAGTAACGTGAAAACGGCCAGACGTCTTGATCCGTAACGTCACAGTAACCGAAGAGTTTCACTTCGGCTGTTTCTGGAGGTGAACGAACGCACTTGGTTGTCGGCATCTGGTGACAAATATTACTTATAGATTTTAATTTGAGGAGACTTCAGCATCAATATAAGGAATACTGTGCAGGTTAGGTTTATTACTTTAAAGATTTTTTTTATTTGTTACTACTTTACAACAAGAGTGCTTCTAAAGTGGTATATTTTTATTTAGTTTTTTTTTATTTTTGGTCAGTGTTCATGATTTTGCAACGAGTACATTTATCTTAAAGTAAAATTGGAACAATTAGATAAACTTATACACTTAAAAATGACACAGAAGAGCATTATTTTTGTTAACGTGACCGATCTCGTCTGGATAAGATGCGTCTGGCTCTGAAGAGTCCTCCTGTAGGTGTGAGGCTTTGCTGTGTTTCTGCACGTGCACACACAAACGTTGGAGCGGCGCTGGTGTGGAGGCTCGTGCCAGCTGCATGCTAACCCAATGTTCTGCAACTCTCCGGAGAGCTGTTCCTGCTCTGCCTCCCCCTCTCCCCCCTCTCTCCTTCTGTCTCCCCCACCTCCACCAGTCGAGCACTCGTGCGAGCGCGTCCACCAGCCAGAATGCAGAGGGTTGTGTTTATTTCCGGCTTGCCAGCCTCTGAATGCGCCTTTCCCTCCTCGCTCGCTTCCATCTCCCCAGAGGCTTCCTGGCTGCTGGAGCAGTTTAAGGTGTTCTGGAAAACCCATTGTTGGCTTCATGGAGGGGTGCACGTGCGAGGCTGTGCGTTTCCTCGCGAGCAGATGTTCTCCTCGACCGTTGTATCTCGTAGCATTTTCAACACGCCGAATGACCGATTTACTGTCGGTCGGCCACACAAACAAAAAAAAAAAACCCACTGGTGGACTTGATGCTTCAGCCTGTTTGGTCACAAGGTTTCACCAAAAACCCTGAAAACAGCGAACATATGTCGTGCACATGTGAAACATTAATGCAGAGCGTCTGAAACCCACTAAAGCCCAGTTCAGCTGCTCACACCCACCATCTAAAATCTCATTTCAAAAACCCAGGAGTGTTTTTCCAGGTACACGTCTGCAGCTCATAACTCGCTCCAACTCAAAGCAGCGTCGGTCTGTGAGATGCATGAACAGACCCACGTTTTGCTGCATATTGTCGGTTTTATTATTGTCTTTTCTCCTCCTCCCCTCCGCCCCGAATGCTGCAGAAATCCACCCAGTAAGACCTTAAATTGTTTCAAGCAGAAAGGTACAAGTAACACGAAATAATAGTCGCCACATGCAGCTGATGTATAATTCATGCATCAATCCAGCAGATGTGTTGTATAAAGTAATTAACTAATCAGAACAATCAGGAGAGGAGGAGAGAGAGAGAATATGAAAGAGAGGAGAGAAAGAGGGAGAGACGGCAATCTCCAGATGCATCTGCTTGATGCGCCAAATGAAATCTGTCTGTCTTGGAGGGACGCTTGCAGCAGGAAAGGCGAGCCGAGGCCCATGTGTTCAGCTGTGTTCCTGTGCTGCCTGATGCGGCTTCACTTCATCAACACGTGAACTTCACACACAAACATGTTCTACACGTTTTATCCGAGCCGCAAGATTCGACCAACTGATGGAAAATTAACCAACGGAGCGTTCATTAAATCAAGTGCGGCTTCCAGTTCAAATTGAATTTTAAGATTAAATAGCCTTGAGTTCTACATCTTAGCAGCGTTGGAGGAATGCATATCACCCGCCGCCTTTCATGCCTTAGATTTAAACTACAGTCTCGTCAGAAGGGCCACTTTTGGTTGATTCTTGTAAATAACGGTGCGCAAACTCTCATGTCATCTCTAGATCTGTTGGCGCTCAGAGCTGCGTTTGTTTACCTGCACAAACAGCCAAAGTGAGGATTACTCTCGGCTACTACCACACCGCATTTTACTTCTCTATCTGCAGAGCTGACGAGTTGACGCCATTTTTTTTGCCGCGGTTGCTCCTTTTGATTCAGGTTGACTCCAAAAGTTCATTAGATGGACGCCCAATATGAACTTTCAGAGAGTTTCATTAAAAGCTTTCCAATGAGTCACGAGATATTTTGCTAACGCATTCAAGCCCAGGCAAAACATTATTGCTCCGCTTTGCCTTCAGCGGCGGGTGATGAAAGTGGAGAAGGTTGGGATTAATAACGAGAAGTAAATCTGGTGGAGCAGAAACAAATCCTGTTGCTTTGACCAACAAAACACAGCGTCCGTTTTTTAAATTTAATTGAATTTTTTCAACCTTTTATTTATACAGGTTGTTTAGATTTGAAATAAATGTTTTTATGTAAAACTGATTGTTTGGACTCCAGCAGTGACCTTGACTTTTAACTCTCAGGTTAAACGTTTTCTTCCTCAGATGTTCAGAAAAGCGTTCTTATGTGAGAAATAAATTTATGATGTGCTTTAAATTACGCATTAATTAAAACCTCCGTTCTGTTTGTTTTCTCTCTTCGTCTTCCTCCCCCTCTTTACGTCCTCCGTGTGTCCCCTCTGTCGTCCACAGTTGTCCTAAGCTGGAGGACCTGCCGCCCGAGCAGTGGAGCCACTCTACAGTAAGAAACGCCCTCAAGGAGTTACTCAAAGACATGAATCAGAGCTCTCTGGCTAAAGAATGTCCTTTATCACAGGTGCTGAAGCCCCAACTGCTTATTCTAAAACCAAACAAAGAGCAAACCAAAACAGAAAAATATATATCTCAACCCCACCCCCCGCTGCCATACCACATAACAAAACAAACACCCCTGTCTCCATCACCTCCGTCTTTTATCTTCGACTTATCAAATGCCCTGAGTTTGATCGAGTGGGAACCAGAATCGTGTAGAAAATCCAAATCAATGCCCATTGTGGTCGCGCGCTGCCGATTGTGTGGATCTTAACGTTCACACCATTGTTGTCCCCTTTTCTGTTTCACTCCCGTTCTGAATACGTGATGCTATTTTAGCCGTTCATATCTCAGAACCTTAAGCTGCTTTAGGAGCTGTGCGCTAGGACTTTTAATTTTTGCAGCTTTTATACTTTTCAAAATATTTAATTTTATTTACAAACATTTCCCTCTTAGAATATTTAGTTTGCTTCAAATTCAATAAAAAAAAACATTGTTCCTTCTGAAAACACTCTTATTTTTGTCTTATGATAGCTTTTAGCTGTTTTGTGCTACTTTTAGCTTCTGCTATTGTACATTAAGCTTTTAGCTGACCTTTTGCTTCTAAAGCTAGCCTTTTTTGCTACTTTTAACTACTGATCTGCTACTTTTATAGTGTTTAGCTGGATTTTTGCAACTTTAAGCCACTGTTCTTCTTTAGTTAGCTTTTAGCTGGTCTTTTGCTACTTTTAGCCATTGATCTGTTTTTATATTTTAGCTAGAGTTTTGACACCTAGCCAGTATTCTTTGTTAGCTTTTGTTAATATTAGCTTTTAGGTCGTCTTTTAGCTAGCATTTTGTACATTTACATTCTAGCCAGTTTTAACAGTTTTAGCTTTTAGCTAGTGTTTTGCTACTTTGAATTTCAGCCAGCCTTTTGTTATATTTTTTTCTTTTTGTAACCTTAAAAAAAAAAACTAGCCTTTTAGTTTATATATATTGTTTTCTACTTTTTTTTTTAGCCTCGTGCTACTTCTAGCTTTTCAGTTAGCTTTTTGCTACTTTTAGCTTTAACAACTCAGTTTTAGCTTCTTTAGCTTCAGTACTCAACATTCAGACTGCATTTTCTGTAAAATATTTCTTAAAATTTTTTTTGTACCCCCCCCCCCCCACACACACACAGGGGCAGCCACAAAGCAGAGGTGTTGCCGAACATATGGTTATTGTTAGACAAACGTTGGACCGAGCCCAGAACCGGGTCGTCTCTGCTCTTTCTGTCTGTTGCACCGCGCCTCAGAACCTCACACGCTGCGAGTTAAATTCTGCTCTGGGGGGTTCAGTCGGACCCGGCTGCGTTGATATTGTATTAAAAGGCGTCGTAGTGCGTATATCACAGAGGCAGCTCCGGAGTGAAGCGGATGAAAAGGCAGTATTTCTCTCTCTGCGGCCAGTGTGTGTGTGTGTGTGTGTGTGTGTGTGTGTGTGTGTGTGTGTGTG